ACATAAAGTCTTCGTCAGACTCGTTATTGATCACATATAAACGATTTTGTAAAAATGTGTACGTCCATAGCAATAATTTCAAATTTTTTTCAAATTTTTTTTTTAAAACAAAACTCAACTCCTTTTGTGTAAACATGGTTTTACTTAAAGCACAAGTTGATGGCATTTACATACATAATATTTTTCAAAAAAAAAAAATATATAGAGCAATATGCTAATGAATGTAAATTAGGATATAAAATTATTTTGCACCTACAGTAATTTTTCTGTAAATATAAAGATATTACAAAATTTCAAAATTTCATATCCAAACATTTTAATGATTTATATACATACATACATAAACACATTCATCCAATTTTATTGCTTGTAGCTTTTATTATTAAATTCTTGTAATTACTATTAATAATCCAAAAACAAGTGAGAATAGTAATGGTAACGTAAGTTAGTGAACAAATTACATGCAAAATATGTTGGAGTACTGTTGTTATATTTAATGTTATGATTGTTGATTCTCTGTTATGTAAAAACATTTGGAATTTTAATGTAAATTTCTTCTTATATTGAAAAAGTAATTTTTTTAAATAATGGAGTAATAGAATAATGTAGATGCCTTACTTGATTCAAAAAAATGACCACTTGGGCTTGCTTGCAAATAATTTGAAAATTATTTCAAAGCAACAATAGGTACTTAATGTCATTTTATGATAACGTTCATGCATGCTACATATGTATATGAAGTAGTTGTATATGTACATACATAGGTGTTAATTTTTATCGACAATAATTGTCTTTGTATAAGTTGATACCAAAATTACGTATTTTCAATTAGAGAAATAATTATTTTAATGTGAGGAAATATAATGTAAATTTTAATGTAAGAAAATTTAATATAAAGAATATTTTTTATGTATGTATGTGAAAACTTGTTGCCAAATCAAATAAAAATGAGCACAAGCCCCTGTCATCATTGTCACAAAAAAAAGTGATTGAAAGGAAAATGAGAGAAAGAGAAAAATTACCTTTTACCAAACAACAAATTAGTGAATGATAAACGACTGTGTCGGTCATTTTTTTTGATAAAGATTCGCAAAAACAATGATCACATATCCCACACTATCTTACGGTTTTATGCTGTTCATAAATTTTTCGTGTATATTCTAAACTGTATAACAACACAATAATAAAATTTAAATTCATTTTTTTTTCAACTCAACTCTCACATACTAATGTGGCATGGTAAATAATTAAGTATACACCATAAACCCATGCACTGTTGATTAACTAATAATATTTTTGTATGAGTATTTAGTACAAAATGAATAATTACGAGTATTATATACTTATTATATACTTATATAATATAGAATAACTGGTATTTTGTTTTTATACCCTGCACTTCGTGAAGGGTATATTAACTTTGGTATGGAGTTTGTAACTACTTGAAGGAGTCATCTGCGGTATGGACATATATATATATTCTTGCTCAGCGTAAAATTCTGCGTCGATTTAGACATGTCCGTCTGTCCGTCCGTCCGTCCGTCCGTTTGCACGATAACTCAAAAACGAATAATGCAATCGACACCAAACTTTCACAAGTTTTTTCTTTTGTGCCAAGGACGAGCCCTATTGTTATTGGACTAATTCGGACAACGGGTTCGGGTAGCTGCCATACAACTCAAAGAGTTTATTTTAAATATTTCAAAAACTAATAAAGCTATAAATATAAAACTTTGTATACATGTGTCCAATTATATTCTACACATGCTCTAAAAATTATAATGGGATAGCTGCACCGGTTCGGGTGGCTGCCATACAACTCCAACAGCAAATTTTTTATATTCGGCAAAATAATAAAGTCAGATTCATGAAACTTGGCAGTCATGTGTCCAATTATAGGTCAAATATACTTCTGAAGTTTTAGAGGAATTGCTTTACAGGTTCGGGTACCTGCCATACAACTCCAGAAGCTAATTTTAAATATTTGGAAAAATAATAAAGTCAGATTCATGAAACTTGGCAGTTGGATGTCCGATTATAGATCAGATATATTTGTGAAGCTTTAGAGGAATTGCTTGACAGGTTCGGGTACCTGCCATACAACTCCAGAAGCTAATTTTAAATATTTGGAAAAATAATAAAGTCAGATTGATGAAACTTGGCAGTTGTGTGTCCAATTATAGGTCAGACATATTTCTAAAGTTTTAATGGGATTGCTTGACAGGTTCGAGTAGCTCCCATACAAGTCTTAAAGCTTATTCTTAATATTTGGAAAAATAATAAAGTCAGATCCATGAAACTTGGCAGTTGTGTGTCCGATTATAGATCATATATATTTGTGAAGTTTTAGTGGAATTGCTTGACAGGTTTGGGGACTTGCCAAACAACTCCAAAAGCATATTTTAAATATTTGGAAAAATAATAAAGTCAGATTCATGATACTTGGCAGTTGTGTGTCCGATTGTAGATCAGATATATTTGTGAAGTTTTGATGGAATTGTTTGACAGATTCAGGTACTTGCCATACAACTCCAAAAGCTAATTTTAAATATTTGGAAAAATTATAAAGTCAGATTCATGAAACTTGGCAGTCGGATGTCCAATTATAGGTCAGACATATCCGTGAAGTTTCTATAGAATGACTTCACAGGTTCGAGTAATTGCTACACAATAACGAAAGGTGCAGGGTATTATTCAATCGGTTTATACCGACTGAAACTTTTTTACTTGTTTTTATTTAATTTTATATTTCTCCTTGTTTTTATTCTCATTCAGTTGGATTTAAGATTGTGTATTTTATTAGTGTGGTAAAATGAGTTTGGTTCACAATTGTTTAGTGTTGAATTGTTGAATTTTTTACTGGTGAGGTAAATAGAGTCTCGGTAAATGGTAATACGAAGAAGTTTAACATTTTGTTTTTTCAAAAATATCATTCACAGTTTTATTTTTACTTTATGATTTTAGTTAAATACGAATTGTTGAATAGTAAAGACGTGGTAAAAATTCATATTTTATTATAATTTTTTTTTTTGATATTAATATTGAATACATAAAACTCATAACTAATACTATATTAAATTCTTAGTTCGTTTACAGTAAATTAACTGTTAAATATTTTATAAAAAGAATAAAACACACTCTTAATGTATGCTAAAGTTGAAAGAAAAAAAAAATAAATAAAAAGGAAACGATTTTATTTTTCTTAAAACAGGTGATTTAATTAAAATGGAAAAATAAATTAAAAAATTATAATTTTTTTTTTCTATTAAATAAAATAATTAAAAATTTATAAAAATAAAGTGTTATATGTAGTAAAGTTTAATAAAAATATTATTTTCGATAAAAATGTGCGTTTTAATAAATATATGAGAAAAAAATAATAATAAATTTAATAAGAAAAACTGGTTCACCTGTTTGCTAATAAAAATAATAATAAAAAAAAAATATTTGCATTTTTACATAAGCTACGTTTACATTTGGAATAAGTATGCATATTTTGTACTTAATTTTTCGTATTGGAACTGATGCGTCTTGTCACATAAATGATATTTCAGTTTAAGGATTAAAAATAGTTTGATCGTATTTAATTTGATCATTGTTATACAACAGTGAGGATTTGGAAAAAATTCATTTAATGCTATTGTAATTATGCAAAAGACCATGAGATCAAATTTTTCAGCGAATGTACTGATCAATTTTTGAAGTTTATACGAGTAATAAGATAAGAATGAGAATCTCACTCTTTACTGAAATTCTTAGTTTTAAAGCATAATATTTTCTTTTTTTTGTATTATAAAATATGTATTGTAAATTTAATTGTTATATACATCTTTATGTTACATATACATAGTTATTTTTCACATCTAGAACTAAAACTGATTGCTTGCCATCTAATCGCAGTATTATACGTGGTTGATTGTTATCGATTGTAAATTTATCAAAAATTTAATATCTTAGATTAGAGGTAGCGTTTCTCAAACAACTATCATTTATAAATTCTTAATTTTATTTTAGAAAAGTGACGATATATTTTGATTTTAATTTATTATTGAATAAAAATATTTTAAAAATTATTCTTTTGTTTAAACTCATCATGCTAATGTCATGATGATTTTAACAATTTTAATATTTGAAAGACAATAGATTTATGAAGTCATTCAGTTAAACAAGATAGCTTGAATATGTTTTTTTGTACCCTATTAATTTATTGAATTTTTATTTGAGTTATTTTTGTCATTCAATTTAAAATTGATAGAAGTTTTTATTTTTTTATTAAATAAATTCAATCTTTTACAATGAGTATAAACAATACTATTTGGATGGTCACAAGTTTTGTTTTGCATTTTTGAAAAATTAGCCTTGGCGACCAATCAAATTATGCTTTTATTAAGTATGTTGATCACATTAAAGAAGTTTAAGTCAAATGTAAACGTAGCTTATGTATTAAAATCTATTGCAAGTTGTTATTTTTATTATTGTTATTATTATATAACCTATATTAATTATAATTTCAGTGATAAATATTTGTATAAATTAAAATATAAAAATATTTTAAAACAACCATTAAAATTTAATATTTATATATTAAATAGTAAATTATAAAACATAATTATTGGTGGTTTCTGTGATTATGCTGAAAAAAAAGTGCTAACATTATTATAGTGACAATATTATTTTTACCACAGTCTGTCAGTAACCGTTAACTCTAAAATAATTTTTTTTATATTTTTTTATATTCTTCTCTTTTATTTTACCTGTTGAATAGAAATAACGGTGCTTCACATAAGTTTTTTTACTTTGTTTTTTTTTTTTTTGTATTTTCTATTTTTATTTTCTCTATTAGTGATTTTATAATAATTGCTCCGCTTTTTTTATTTTATACCTTCACGTATATACTAATATACGAACCTGTGCATATGTATAATTGTTAAATGTAACACAGTTGTGTGATTTTCATTATTAAGTGTATTTTTATATATTTTTTTGCATAAAGTGTAAAGTGAAAAGTGAAAATTACTTATTTTATTTACTCTTAAATAATATTGTTAAGTTAAGAGTATATTTGTACAAAGAGGAAAAGAGGGAGAGAGAGAGAAAAAGAAGTTGAATATATAAGTATAACAATAACAAATGTACTAACTACTCGTTTATGAGAAATACATAATATAAAAAATTGAAACATTTTTATGCTACTACATTATTTCTATTTCTGGATATAAAATAATTAATAACTGTTTTCAAAGGTGATTTATTTAAATAATCATATAGTAAAACACTTACACTTACTGCATACTTTTATATATTGTATAAATACTGTGTATTCAATATAATCAGGTAATTTATTGTTTTTTCATTATACTTTTTCTATTATTATTTTTAGCATTTATTTGTGAAATAATATTTAAAAATTTAATTGAATGAAACTAGGCATGGTTTTGTATATACCATATTTTTATATTGTGAGAACCTTATGAAGATCAATTGACGCTTATTCTTAAGAATTGACAGAATTTTAATTAATAATGTTGAAGTTTGTTCTATTCAAAGCTGTAATATAAATTGTTACTCACTAAATCTTCGAGATATACGGTACCAATGAGACATTTCGCGCTACGGATAAATTACGATATAAAGAGTAGTTACGATATAAAGAGTTTTTAAAATTACAGGAACTGAAATACTTAAACAGAACTGTAGAAATTTTATGAAATCTTTCTAAAATATTAAAAATATTCCTTGTGTTTTCTGTATAAAGTTATGTATACTTAAGTTCCAAACCTAAATGGACACATTATATGGACAGAAATTGTACCTCCCGACTGTATATAATATTTATTATTTGTAGTAAATATGCTACTTATTAATGAGCAAAACTAACATCTTGTTTATATAGACATTATGAACAAACATTTAAATATAACAAGATTTACTTTTTTAAATTATATAATACGAATTGGTGAACAGACAGACTCACATGTCTATAATATGAAGAAATTACTTTACTTAATGGTAATTAAAAATAACGTAATGCAAATAGAATTTATTAATGATCGATCTTTTTATTTAAATAAATAAAATTTAAATTACGATAATGAAAATTTTTTAACTACTTGTTGTTATAGCAGCACTTCAAATGTAGATTTTTTTCGATTTCAAAAACAGCGTTGTAATTTGCCATACAAAATAAAAATACACACAAAAAAAAAAAAAATAAACGCAAAAAGAAAAAAAAAAGTGCAAATTTTATTACTGGTTCAAAAATGGGTCAAATATTTTTGTTTGAATTTTACTGTACTTTTTATATTTCAAAAAATTTTTGTGATATTCTATTTGATTTTACTTGGTATTTTTGAGTTAAAAATTAAAATTCAAAAGGTTGACTTTAATTTTCCTGTAAAATCAAAATGTGAGCAAGAATTCGTTTCTACAAAAAAAAAATTGGATAAATAAGTAGTATAAATTTTACAATTTCAGACAAGAAGAGCTGAGGTAACAAAATTCTCTTCAAAGTAAAATTGGAGTAAGTAACTAAGCTCAAATGAGAGGAATTACTAATTAATTCGGAATAGCCTAAGTCATTTTCTGTCTGTTCGGTGTACACTGTACAGCCTTTAACCATTAAAATATTTTTTGTTTTCTTTGAATTTTTGAGATAATGTGAAATTTCGTTCATGATGCAGCTGTTATTTTAAAATATTTTAAGAAATGAAAATTATTATTCATCATAAATTTTAAATAATTAAAAGTTTATTGGAGTATTATGCTTTAAAAATTTCAAATAAACCAATTCTGAAGAATGTCATCAACCAACTGTGCTTCATAATAAATTCTGCCGAACAAAAATTAATATATGCTTATCTTAATTTTACCTGTTTTATTCGATTAGTGTATTTGACATTTCAATACACAATATGATTTTTTAACTATTAAAATATTGTCGAAACAAAAATTCCCATAATCGAAACGGCAACTCTAATAATATATATTAAAGCTCAACTGAACGTTGCTGTGATCATTGAATTTTTGTTTTTTGTTTTTAACTAAAGCGAAATCAACATTCTTGTACCTATCATAAATATTAGCATATTCTATATACATACATATAGTATGTACATATAATTATATTGATTTTTATGACAGCGTCACTGGAATTTTGGAATTTTTTTCTCATTCAAATTTGTTTTTTTTTTGTTTTCTACCTTGTTATACGTATAGAGGTAAGGTAAATCGTATGTATTTAGCCATTGGTTATTGGGTAATGGTGTAAAGGTGTGTTTTGTAGTTTCTTTAGACATTATTTACTTAATTATTGTGTCATTATATTATAGTCTGAATACAATTTCGAAAAAATTGAATATCTTACAAAAATGCATATGAAAATTTTCATATCTATTTTTCTGTATTTATGCATAATTATTCAACAATTTATTTTAATTTTCATTTTATTGCTATAGTTTTTATATTTCGATTTATTTTATATATTAATTTGACGATCATTTTCTTATATACCTTAACTCTTATAATTTACAATGATAAATCATCAATATTTTATTGAAATAATTTGCAAAATTTCAAAATATATTAAGTATGTTGAATAAGTATAACCATAGTTTGATTTAAATTAAAATTCTTTGAAAATTATATATTAAATCAGATATGAACATGCTTACAATAGTTACGATCAATAAGCATGAATTAATATTATAAATGTATGTAATTATATGTTGGAATTTCTTTTATTGAAGGTGTGGTACATTTTCAAATTCAAGTGAAGTTCACCTGTTTTTGAATTGAAATTTTTTTTTGTGTTTGTTCGTTTTTTTTTTGTTTTTGTAAATTCAATGATAAAAATGTTAAAATTTGAATTATAATACAAAAGCGTGGATATGTAATATTATGGTGCGCCTTAACGAAAATACTATAGTTTTGACTCTGAACTTGAAATTAGTTGAATATTTATTTTTATAAAAAAAAATAATTTAATTCAAATTCTATATTATGTTTAAAATAAATTACGCGACATATGATGAGAAAATTATGTATTTTAATCTTGAACTGATTTTAAATATAATATGGCAAGGTTATTTGTAAAGTACAAGCTTTTCGATTTGACATGCATAACATGTACATGCATATGAATGTTTCAATAGCACAATTCTATGCATTTTGGAAAAATAAATTAAATCACACTAAAAATTTTCAATAATGTAAAATTTTCCTTAAATTCGCTTTTATTCGTATAATGTCTGGTAGAACTTAAATTAGATAACCACATCTTACATTAAATGAAGTTACTAACTAAAAAATAACATAAAATTTATGATTTATATTAATTTTTTTCAAAACAATTTTAACTTTCCACTAAAAAATATTGTAAAATTTGAGTGTTTTAATATTAAAATAAAAATTTTATAAAAATATTGAATTAAAATTAAATTAAATTTAAAATTCTAAATGTTAAATAAAATTGAATGAAATTGATATTACGTCATGTGTCACCTTGATTTCTATATTAGTATAGTTATATATGTATGTACAAAAATATAAATGACTATGGATTCTATTTATAAGAGTTTTTATTTCATATATGTATATAGAAATTAATAAATGATTTGATTTCTTAAATATATGTACATTATTTTAATAAACATCAACAGCTGCTGCTGTCAACAATAACCAGTTGTCAATGAAAATAACAAAACAAAAATAAAAAATATTTTCAATATTAATTTTTACACACACATACACAAGCATATGTAGTACGTTTTGTATATCAAACAAAAAACTTAAATGGAAAACTTGAAAATTCAATTTTTAATTTTATCTAAGTAGCTATTTTTTTTTTTTAACATTTTTATATTTCAAAAGTAAATAAGCTAGTGTACTTATAATATTTTTTAATGTATATTTTTTTTTAACACCAACGTTCTATCGTTAAGACGGCAGCTCTATAAATTGTGTCAAATTCTTTATGAAACGGGAAAATTATGTTTGCTATGGCTAAATCAACTTTTTAAGTTAAAAACTTTGTCAAAAATACGTAAATTTTTGTATATGTACAAACATTGAGTTAAAATCAGATCAAGCCAATGATTAGTAAAGTAAAAACTTTAAACAACCGGAGCATATTTTTTCAACGATGAAAATACTTAGTGCCTACTTTTAGGAGGAGAATAAAAATTAAGTGAAGCATTTATATAACAGTTTAAATGAGATTATCTAAATGAAATAATTTCGTGAATTATGTATTTTCAAAATTTGAAATTTTGAGAGCTTGGACGGTTTATAACGTTAAGAGGGTAGAAACGAGCTAGGTAAAAAGTTTCGGCTAAAGAAATGCAGTGTTTAATTTGAACATTCTTTTGTGCTGTACTTGTATGGAGTTTCAGCTTTCTACTACTAAAGATGTAAAATTTTTATAAACACACAAAAGAACAAAAGGAGTGAGATATTTTATTTTCAAATATATTCTAAATGTGTTTAAAAAGACACAAATTGTTTTAATTAATTGCGATACCCTAACTGATATCCAGACTTGTTGATTGAAAATTTATACAAAAACTTGTTAATAAGACTGTTTACAGTATACTTGTGAACATAACCTGAAAATTAAATGCTATAAATGTTATTAGTTACAAAAATATAAAACATTCTTAAGCTTTCAATGCTTTTATTCTAAATCTTGTTTTTCAATTTAAAATAAAGTCGCAAAAAGGTTTGCAAAATAAAAAAAACCTATTAAAAATGAGTCATTTTTCATCAGTTTTATTTCAGACTTTAACATTTTTTTAATTTCATTTTAACAATAGTAAATAAAACTTGTACATTTTTTTTTTATTATTATTTTCTGAATTTTTTAAGGCTTTATTGTTGTAAATTTTTGTTTTTATAGTTCTTTAAATGGATTTGCTATAAATATATGCATACAATGGGTTTATACAAGGTAGAAATAATTTTAGAGTTTTTAAAGCATTCCTACACATCGTTTTTCAGTATGAGCCCAAAAGGAAACATTTAGTAATTAACAAAATTTATTTTCCACCAGTACCAACATTTTTTTTTTATTATTATATCGTTTAATTACTTTTTTTTATTTTTCGTTCACAAGTGTATGTAATTAACACTTTTTCTGCTGGCTTTAATACAGCTACAGCAGTTTTAATTTTTTACTGAATTTGAATAAACATCCTGGAAAGGCGGGAGTCGCCTTCAATATCAACACTAATAAAACTAAATGTCTAAGATTGAACACAATTAATGATACGTCCATTCAACTAGGCGACAGCCAAATTGTGGACGTGCCCCAGTTTAACTACCTGGTCAACATAGTGGTA